GGGGCTCGATCCCAGGACCCCGGGACCATGACCCGAGCCAACGGCAGATGCTTAAAACAACTGAGCCACCCAGGCGCCCCGGCTACAACGGTTTATAAATGGGGGTGAAGGAAAACTTCTTCCTTAGAGTAGAAAGCCAACTAAAATGTATACGATGGAATTAGAAAATGACCATTTGGCAACCGTCACAGTAACCGACTCAGGGAAGTCATAACTGGATGCTAACAACAACATAAGGCTGAAATGCTAATACTGTGGTCATTAGGTACATGAAGCTACAGAACATTTAAATTTCTGTTAATTAAAATTAAATAAAAACTCGGTCTGAGTTTCTCGGTTGCACTACCCACATTTCAAGTGTTTGGCAGCCACATGTGGCCAGTGACTACCATACTGGACAGTGCTGATTATAGAGTATTTCCATTATCACACAAAATCCTATGCGACAGTGCTGGTTAAATGACGCGTATTTAACTGACATAGTCCCAAGTATCTCCCCACAGAATACTTAATTTCAAAGTGTAAAATAGTAACTTTGCCACTGAAAAACCTGTAGACATCACTTTATTTTTTCTCTAAAGATTTTATTTATTTGACAGAGAGAGACACAGCAAGAGAGGGAACACAAGCGGGGGGAGTGACAGAGGGAGAAGCAGGCTTCCCGCCGAGCAGGGAGCCCGATGTGGGGCTCGATCCCAGGACCCTGGGATCATGACCTGAGCCGAAGGCAGATGCTTAAACCGACTGAGCCACCCAGGCACCCCCGAAGACATCACTTTAACCAAATGATCAAGATCATACATTGCCAGTAAGGCAGCTAATCAGCATGTGTCTCTTGATATGACGTAATAAGAAGGTCTGAGCAACACTTTTTTGGTATTCCTGCCACAAGTGGAGAATCTAAACTCAGTAATTAGAGAAACCCAAATTGAGGGAGATTTTACAGACCTGTGCTTTTTAATAGCGTCCAATATTATGAAATACGAAGATTCACGAACTTTCCAGACTCAGGAAATCTAAAAAGACATGGGGGGGGGCGGTCGGGCTGGCTCAGTCAGTAGAGCGTGTGACTTTCTTTTTTTAACCTTTTAAAAAAAAGATTTTATTTATTTGACACACACAGAGAGAGAGATCACACGTACAAGCACGGGGAGCAGCAGGCAGAGGGAGAAGCAGGCTCCCTGACACTGACGATCCCAGGACTCTGGGATAATGACCTGAGCTGAAGGCAGACGCTTAACCGACTGAGCCACCCAGGTGCCCCTGTCTGTATTTGTGAAATTATCTTCTTACAGGTATATTCCTCAAGTGGGACTAAGTCGAAAGACACACATCCTTCATTTGACATACTGCCAATGGTCTCCAGAAGGGTGTGCACCAACCCACACCTGCCAACAGGGCATGAGGACTCCACACCCTCACAGACAGTATCATCACTTTCTTTTTTTACATTTGATACATTTGATACTTTATTAATAAGGTATCTGAGATTATCTTCAAGGACACAAAAGTGACCTAACTACCTAATTTTCTGTTATAACCAGATTTCAATTACATGGCAAGACATACCCTAGTTACAATAAATGAAATCCAAAGTAGTTTCAAATCATCTGGCTCTAAGTTTAACTAATGTCTAATCTTTTTAGAATATTTCATATGGGGGACTAACATGGGATTTTGTTCAGATTTACAAAATCATCAAGAAGAAACCTGAGACAAGAGAGCAGGGTTTCTCAACCTTGGCACTATTTTCTTTTTTTAAGATTTTATATTTAAGTAATCTCTACACCCAATGTGGGGCTCAAACCTAAACCCAGAGATCAAGAGTTGCACGCTCCACCAACTGAGCCAGCGAGGCACCCCTTAATCTCGGCACCCTTGACATATTTTGGGCTGTGTAATTCTTTCTTATGGGGGCTGTCCTATGCACTGTAGAAAGTTTAGCAGCATCCCGGACCTCTACGCACTACATACCAGTAGTAACCCACCCACCCTTAGTTTTGACTACCTAAGTGGGTAGAGACATTTCTACCCAAGAAATGTCTCCAGAAATTGCTGTCTCCCAGGAGGCAAAACTGCCTCTAGTTGAGAGCCACTGGACTAGAAGACCTATCAGAAATTTCAACACAGAGAACACTTTTCAGAAAGGATTTGAAAAGTACAAAATCTGGAAGTCAGAGGCTGATATCAATCTATGTAGTAGTGGTCTAAAAACTTTTTCTGTAAAGGACTAAATATGTAGTAAACATTTTAGACTTTGAGGGGCGCCTGGGTGGCTCAGTCGTTAAGCATCTGCCTTCGGATCAGGTCATGATCCCAGGGTCCTGGGACTGAGCCCCGGGTTAGACTCCCTGCTCAGTGGGGAGCCTGCTTCTCTCTCTCCCTGCCCATTCTCTCTCTCAAATAAATAACATCTTTAAAAAAAAATCTAAAATTTTTTAAAGATTTTATTTATTTACTTGAGAGAGAGAATGAGAGAGAGAGAGCACATGAGAGGGGGGAGGGTCAGAGGGAGAAGCAGACTCCCTGCTGAGCAGGAAGCCCCATGTGGGACTCGATCCCGGGACTCCAGGATCATGACCTGAGCCGAAGGCAGTCGCTTAACCAACTGAGCCACCCAGGTGCCCCCCAAAATTTAGATTTTGAGAGACATTTGATCTCTTTTAACTACTCAACTTTGCTATAGTAGTATGAAAGCAATCACAGACAAAGCATAAATGAATGAGCTTGGGTGTATCCTAATAAAACTTTATAGATTAAATATAAATTTTGTGAAATTATCACATCATGATATTCTTTTGCCCTTTTTTTTCAAGATTTTATTTGTCAGAGAGAGCACAAGCAGGGGGAGCAGCAAGCAGAGGGAGAGGGAGAAGCAGGCTCCCTACCGAGTAAGGAGCCCGATGTGGGACTCGATCCCAGGACCCTGGGATCATGACCTGAGCTGAAGGCAGACTCTTAACCAACTGAGCCACCTAGGGGTCCCTCTTTTGCCTTTTCTTTTCTTTTTCTTTTTTATTTATTTGACAGAGATACACAGCGAGAGAGGGAACACAAGCAGAGGGAGTGGGAAAGGGAGAAGCAGGCTTCCTGCCAAGCAGGGAGCCTGATGCGGGGCTCGATCCCAGGACCCTGGGATCAGGACCTGAGCGGAAGGCAGATGCTCAACAACTGAGTCAGCCAGGTGCCCCCCCTCTTTTGCTTTTTAAAACTAACCATTTAAAAATGTGAACGTGGGCGCCTGGGTGGCTCGGTTGGTTAGGCAACTGCCTTCGGCTCAGGTCATGATCCTGGAGTCCCAGGATCGAGTCCCGCATCGGGCTCCCTGCTCAGCAGGGTGTCTGCTCCTCCCTCTGACCTTCCCCTCATCGTGCTCTCGATCTCTCATTCTCTCTCTCTCTCAAATAAATAAAATCTTTAAAAAAATAAAAAAATAAATAAAAATATGAATGCTATTCCTGGCTCAGAGGCTATACAAAAGTAGGTTGTAATTTGCCAACCTCTTCTTAATTAACAAAATCCTTGATAGTTTATAACCTCTTTAAAAAGAACAAAAATAGTGAACATTAGAAACCAACAAAGGTGCAGTAAGAATAAGTCAGGCCAGCTTTATCAAAACATTTTCTTTTGAGAGGGTTATTAGACCAGGAAATCATAACATGTATCTTGATTTTAGTGAGGAATTCGATACTTATATCCATCATGGATAAAGTGGAGAAAAAATGGTTGATGACAGTATAAGTAGGTGAATTCATAACTATCCAAATAACTACAACCAAATAATATTAATTAATAAGTTATTATCAGTTAGTATAGAAAGAAAGGAAGGGAACTAAAAATTTAGCTTTTTTGGGTTCTATGTACTTTTACAATTAGATGAACAAATGTTGATTCCTTTGGTCCTGATCGATCCCTCCCTCCCATTCTCTCTCTCTCTCCCCTTTCTTTTTTTTCTTTCTCCTTCCCTCCTTCCTCTCGTTCTCTTTCTTTCCTTCCTTCCTTCTTCTTTCCCTCTCTCTCTCTTTCTTTTTTTAAGAAGGCTCCACACCCAGTGTGGAGCCCAATGTAAGGCTTGAACTCATGGCCCTGAGATCAAGATCTGAGCTGAGATCAAGAGTCTGACACTTCACCCACTGAGCCACCCAGGCATCCCCTGATCAATCTTTTAAATTAAAACTTACATAAGGACATAAAAGGGAAGTTCATACAAATTACATATGTCTATCACTTTGGAGCAATAACCACTCTAATAGTCAAGTACTATATGATCAAATTAAAGTTTCCAAAGGATCTCATGCTTGGCTAAAACTAGCAAGCTAAAATTTAATAGACACAAATATGGTCTACAATTACATTTTAAAACTTAAATGCTCAATAAATGAAGAAGTTCTAGAAACCTGTTGCACAACAATGTGAATATACTTACCACTGCTGAACTGCACACTTAAAAATGGTTAAGACGATAATTTTATACCACAAAAATGAAAAAGATTACTAAAAAAATGAAACACAAAACTATAGGCTGGAGCTCAAGAAAAGACTGAAGAAGAAGAGAAGTGTGACTATAGGCCAAAACAAGCTGAGATGTTTGTTGAGATGGCCCCTTAAACCCTTGTAACATATAAAGCACTGTAAGAAGAAATGTGCACAATAATCAGCCTGTGTATAGAAGTGTTTCCATTTCCGGGTGTAATATTTTAAAACAGCAATGACAGGAGGTCAATAATATAAAAAGCTTATTGAAATGTATGAGATAAAAAATATTTAGCTCAAGGATATCTAGCCTGGAGGAGACTATATATACAGAATATAAACTATATAAATATTTGAGGGTAAACTGTAAGAGAAATTAAACTTATCTTTCTTAATTGATGATAAAACTTTGACCAATGTGTCAAAGTTACACAGAAGTAGATTTGTGTTCATTATGGGGTGCCCCAAAACTCAGTGCAGTTTTAAGCTTTTTAATAACTTTCAAAGTATAAATGCTATCAATATATCAAAAAATAAACACTTAAAGTTTATTTAAATTTAATACTTATAGTTTGGGGAGTTTTGAATATGTTTTTAGTTTTCAGTCCCTCTGAAGACAGCATATGTTAAATAAATTTTTAAGTTTGTTTTTTTTTTAAGGATTTTTTTATTTATTTGAGAGAGAGAGCGAGAGAGTGGGGAGAGGGGCAGAGGGAGAGGAAGAGAGAATCTCAAGCAGACTCCGCACTGAGCATGGAGCCCAACTCAGGGCTCGATCCCACAAACCTGAGATCATGACCTGAGCCAAAACCAAGAGTCGGATGCCCAACTGACGCGCCACCCAGGTGCCCCTAATTTTTTTTTATTAATTAGAGATTTATTTTTTTAGCTAGTCAAAAAATGATACTGGTTTCCATATTAGGTACTAGAGTCTTGCAAAGCTGACCATTTAGAGAAACTGTAGATATTATTCTTGTTTGAATTAGGTGATTTGTAAAATCCCTCTCAATTCTAAGATTCTCTAGTTTTAAAATTACAGTAAGGTTTGGGCCAACCTTTATCCTTTAAAAAAATAGAGATTTATTTATTTATTTTAGAGAGAGAGACACAGACAGAACACGAGCGGGAGGGAGAGAGAATCTCAAGTGGACTCCACGATAAGCCAGGAGCCCAATGCAGGGCTCAATCCCACAACTCCAAGATCACCCACCACCTGAGCCAAAACAAAGAGCTGGATGCTCAACCAACTGAGCCACCCAGGCATCCCCGAAGCTTTCTATTAACTATAAGAAAGGGCTTAATTTGAAGTAAATAAACACTATAAAAAACCCTGGAAGAAGGATGTTTATTTCCCAAAACCAAGTTATTTTGAAGCAGTAAAATAACCTTCAAAAATTATAATTCCAACTGTAATTAATTCTAATTCAGGAATACTTCTTTCGGTATGCCTGTAGAAGGAAACTGTCATTAAAGAATCATCAATTTCATAATGGACTCCTTTCTTTCTTTCCTTTTTTTTAAAGTAATCTCTATGCCTAACATGGGGCTCAATCTCATGAACCTGAGATCAAGAGTCACGTACTCTCCCAACTGAGGCGGGCAAGTACCCCATAATGGACTCATTTCTAAATTATAAGTCACTTAAATTATTAAACCTTTAATATGACAATACCTTTGCATGCTTCAGTTCTAACTCTGCCAGTTCCACTAAATTTTTCCTGAATGCAGCAACTCTTCTTGTCTTAAAATCTATAAGTTCTGTGAACAAAGGAAATTAGGATTAACTATTTAATTTACATAATATAATAGTTTAAAGTATACCTTATGATTAAAGGGTAACGTAACAGTACCTTGTTTTGCAGATTCAGATATTTTTTCAAATTTCTGACAACATAATTGTTGGGATGTTTCAGCCTGCAGAACATCTTTATTTTTCGCTCTTGCTTTATCCAGTGCTTTATTAGCATTTTCATAATCCACTAGTGACCTAGATCTTCGATAGAGGAGATCCTATAAAAGAGAACGCTTCACAATAACATACACTGCATGTTTCTAATAGTTACCCGCAACCACCACTACCCCATCACCCCCATCATCATCAGAGTGAACACTTAAACCATGAATACCACACATGCCAGCTACTCTTCTAAATGGTTTTTGTAACAGCTTTACTGAGATAAATTCACATACGTATAACTCAAAGTGCACAATTAACGGTTTTTAGTGTGCTCGCAGAACTGTATAACCATCACTACAATCAATTTTAAAACAATTCTGTCATCCAAAAGGAAACCCCATATTCATCAGCAGTCATTCTTCATGTCCTCTTACCGCCCCCCCCCCCAATCTGCTTTCTGTCTGAACAGATTTGCTATTCTGGACATTTCATTAAAAAAAAAAAAATGGAGGGGCACCTGGGTAGCTCAGCTGGTTAAGCAACTGCCTTCGGCTCATGATCCTGGAGAGTCCCGGGATCAAATCCTGCATTGGGCTCCCTGCTCAGCAGGGAGTCTGCTTTTCCCTCTGACCCTTCCCCCTCTCATGTGCTCTCTCTCTCTCTCTCTTTCAAATAAATGAATAAATAAAATCTTTAAAAAAAATGGAATGTGGTCTTTTCTGTCTGGCTTTCTCTACTTAGCATAAAATTTCAAGTGCAGGGCGCCTGAGTGGCTCAGTTGGTTAAGCGACTGCCTTCGGCTCAGGTCATGATCCTGGAGTCCCGGGATCGAGTCCCACATCGGGCTCCCTGCTCAGCAGGGAGTCTACTTCTCCCTATGACCTTCTTCCCTCTCATGCTCTCTCTCTACCATTCTCTCTCTCTCAATAAATAAATAAAAATCTTAAAAAAAAAAATTTCAAGTTCATTCATGTTATTGTGTGAACCAGTACTTCATTCCTTTTATTTCTAAATATTTCATTGTATGGAAATACCACACTGATTTATCCACTTATCAGTTGATAGACATTTGGTTTGTTTCCACATTTTGCCTATTATGAATAATGCTATTATGAACATTTGTGTATAAGTTTTTGTGTGAACATGTTTTCCTTTCTCTTTCATATCTCATTACTTAGGAGTGGAATTGCTTGGTCACTTGGTAATTCTATGCTGAACCTTTTGAGAAACTGCCAGACTGTTTTCTAAAGTGGCTGCCCCACTTTACATTTCCAATGACTCTGTATGAGGGCTGTAATTTCTCCCCATCCTTGGCAACACTTACCTGTCTTTTTGATTAAAGCCACCTAGTGGCTTTGAAGTGGTATCTCACTGTGGTTTTGTTTCGTTTTTTAAAGATTTTATTTTTTACGTAATCTCTATACCCAATGTGGGGTTGGAACTCACAACCCCAAGATCAAGAGTTGCACGCTCTACCTACTGAGCCAGCCAGGCATCTCTCGCTGTGGTTCTGATTTGCATTTCCCTGATAGCTAATGTTGTTGTGCATCTTTTTACATATTCATTGGCAACTTGTATATTTTCTTTGGAGAAAGGGTTATTCAAGTCCTTTGCCCATTTTTTAATTGGGCTATTTGTTTTTTTACTGAGTTTTAAGAGTTCTTTTTTTTTTAAAAGATTTTTTATTTATTTGAGAGAAAGAGAATGAGAGAGAGCATGAGACGGAGGAGAATCAAAGGGAGAAGCAGACTCTCCGCTGAGCAGAGAGCGTGATGTGGGACTCGATCCCGGGACTCCAGGATCATGACCTGAGCCGAAGGCAGTCGCTTAACCAACTGAGCCACCCAGGCGCCCCAAGTTTTAAGAGTTCTTTATATTTTCTGGATACCATTTCCTTATTAGGGACTCGTATGATTTGCGAATATTTTGTCCCAGTCTATGGGTTGTCTTTCCACTTTTCTTCATAGTGTACTCTGACACACACAAGTTTTTAATTTTAATAAAGTCTGTCCAATTTATATTTTTTTCTTTGGTTGCTGTACTCCTGGTGTCATATCTGAGAAACCAATGTCCAATCAGAGGTCACAAAGATTTACATTTGTTTTTTTCTAAAAATGTTATAGTTGTTACATTTAGGTCTTTGATCAATTTTGAGCAAATTTTTATACACAGTATGAGGAAGGGGTCTAACTTTATTTTCATGGACTATTCAGATGACACAGTACCAAAAGCCTATTCTTTTCCCCCCAAAACTGTCTTAGCACCTTTGTTAAGAATCAATTGACTGGGGGCGTCTGGGTGGCTCAGTCGTTAAGCATCTGCCTCCGGCTCAGGTCATGATCCTAGGGTCCTGGGATCAAGCCCCGCATCAGGCTCCCTGCTCAGCGAGGAGCCTGCTTCTCCCTCTCCCACTCCCCCTGCTTGCATTCCCTCTCTAGCTGTCTCTCTCTCTCTGTGTCAAGTAAATAAATAAAAAATCTTAAAAAAAAAAAAGAAAAAGAAAAAAGAATCAATTGACTGGGGCGCCTGGATGGCTCAGTTGGTTTGCCTTTGGCTCAGGTCATGATCCTAGGGTCCTGGGATCGAGCCCCACACAGGTCTCCCTGCTCAGCAGAGAGTCTGCTTCTCCCTCTCAGTCTGCCTCACCCTCAGTTTGTGTTCACATATACTCTCTCAAATAAATAAATAAAATATTTAAAAAAAAAAGCTGCCAATGTGAAAAGGCCCAACTATATGACATTCTGGAAAAGGCAAATCTATGGAGATGTCACACACACACACACACACACACACACCACAAAATCAACAGGGCTTAAGAGGAAAGAGGATGAATACTGGAGCAGAGAGGAGTTTTGGGGCGGTGAAAACTATTCTGTATGATACTTATAAGGGTAGATACATATCATTACACATTTCTTCAAACAAAAAACAATGTGTATCACTAAGAGTGAGCTCTTGTGTAGACTATGGTCTTTATTGTTTGGCTTCTTTCACTCAGCAAAATTATTTTGAGATTCTTCCATATTGTTGCATGTATCCATGGTTCACTCCTTTTTACCAATGAGTAGGATTCCACTGTATATATACACCACAATTTATCCATTCAGCTGCTGGTGGACATTTGGGTTGTTGCCAGTTTTCGGCTATTACAAATAAAGCTGCTGTGAATATCTGTGGGGACACATGCTCTCAAATACCCAGGACTAGAATGACTGGACCATAGGATAGATGTATGTTTAATTTTTTAAGAAACTGTAAAACTTTTCCAAAATATTGTATCATATTCCAACTAACAGGGTGTGAAAGTTCTAGTTGCTATAATTTTTGTCAAAATTTTTCATTTTAGCCAAATTCTCGTTAAGGGGCGCCTGTGGTGAGGGGCGCCTGGGTGGCTCAGTTAGTTAAGTGGCTGACTCTCAATTTTGGTTCAGGTCATGATTTCAGGGTCCTGGGATTGAGCCCCCAGGATGGGCTTCACGCTCAGTGGGGAGTCTACCTGAGGATTCTCTCTCCCGCTGCCCCCCCACATGTGCACACACACGCTTTCTCTAAAATAAATAGATAAATCTTAAAAAAAGAAAAAAAAAGGTGTGTGGTGATATCTCATGAGTTTTTTCCTCCTGCTGTTTAATAAATATTGAATATTTTTTAAACAGCTATTTACTTAATTACTCACCTATATTCAAGTATAGTTGGCACCCAATATTACATTAGTTTCAGGTGTACAACAGTGATCTGACAGCTCTGTTACGCTGTGCTCAGCACAAGTGTAGCTACCGTCTGACACCATACAGCACTATTACACTACCACTGATTCCTATATTCCCTCTGCTGCATATAGTTTTAATTTTTGCAATTAAATTTCAATTCCTTCTTGTGGTCATTAAAAAATTTGGATTTACTTTTTTTTTTTTTAAAGATTTTATTTATTTATTTGAGAGAGAGAGAAAGAGAGAAATAGTATGAGAGGGGAGAAGGTCAGAGGGAGAAGCAGGCTCCCTGCTGAGCCGGGAGCCTGATGTGGGACTCGATCCCAGGACTCCGGGATCATGACCTGAGCCGAAGGCAGTCGCTTAACCAACTGAGCCACCCAGGTGCCCAATTTGGATTTACTTTTAAAGCCATGTTCTAAAAAGTTATGTATTAAACAACTATAATATTAAAATAATGAATTTAAGGTCTGTATTTATTATTATTATTTTTTAATTTATTTTTTTGACAGAGAGAGACACAGCAAGAGAGGGAACACAAGCAGGGAACACAACACAAGTGGGAGAGGGAGAAGCGGGCCTCCCGTGGAGCAGAGCGCCCGACGCGGGGCTTGATCCCAGGATCGTGGGATCATGACCCGAGCCGAAGGCAGACACTTAACGACTGAGCCACCCAGGCGCCCGAATTTAAGGTCTTTAAAGTGAATAATTCATTTTATCCCTGCCCACCGAATATAAACGGTTTAGAGGACACAATCTGATAAAATAATTTGATATGGACAGTATATTTACAAGTGCCTAAGTCCTCAAAGTTAAAAAGGTTATTTATAATTTCTTTTAAGTTTATTTATTTACCTCTTCACTCAACAAAGGGACTGAACTCTCAACCCCGAGATCAAGAATAATGCTCTTCCAACTGAGCCAGCCAGGCACCCCTATAATTTTTTTAAGTAAGCTCTATGCCCAAATGGGGCCTGAACTCATGACCCCAAGATCAAGAGTTGCATGCTCTACCAACTAAGCCAGCCAAGTGCCCCAAGGGTTATTTATGATTTGATAAGGAATGAAAAATTGGTGTTCAAAGCACCACTGATCACATGGGAATTTTCTGTACAATGTATCGATTCATAAATTAACAGTGAATTTATAATACCTTTTTTTTCCTTAAAGATTTTATTTATTTATTTGTCAGAGAGCAAGACAGTACAAGCAGGGGAAGTGGCAGAGGGAGAGGGAGAAGCACGCTCCCCACTGAGCAGGGAGCCAGATGTGGGGCTCGATCCCAGGACCCCGGGATCATGACCTCAGCCAAATGAAGGCTTAACCGACTGAACCACCCAGGTGCCCTGAATTTAGAATATCTGAGCCACTAAGTTTTTAGTGCCTTTTCAGATGTTTCTGTTAAACATTTTTTGGATTAGCAAGAGTTTTAGTCTTGCTGGTAGACAGACTTCCAAAAGGAAATTTGAGTTACCTTAAAATAAAACATATCCTGGTTTTACAGTTCTCTCACCCACAACAGAGGACTTAGGAATCCTTTAGCTACACCGACTGTTATTTGGGGGTTTTACTTCTTGTTTTGTAGGCATTTTACCTGAATGAATATACCAAATTCATTAAAAAAAAAAAGTTCTAGATTATACTATATCAGCAGTTTATAGTGGAGGGGCGCCTGGGTGGCTCCGTCGTTAAGCGTCTGTCTGCCTTCCGCTCAGGTCATGCTCCCAGGGTCCTGGGATCAAGCCCTGCATCGGGCTCCCTGCTCAGCGGGAAGCCCACTTCTCCCTCTCCTACTCCCCCTGCTTGTGTTCCCTCTCTCGCTGTCTCTCTGTCAAATAAATAGAATCTTAAAAAAAAAAAAAAAAAGTTTATAGAGGAAACTTTTATGTGGGGTTCCCCAACCAACAATCTGTAAAAGGAGAACAAAAAATTCACACTTGAAAATCTAATTTAAAATCAAGAGATAATCATTAACAATCTTAAGCCTAACAACCTCTAAAGAGAAGGCTTTTTGTAAAATAGTCCATTTTAAAAAACAATGAACAGGGGCGCCTGGGTGGCTCAGTCGTTGGGCGTCTGCCTTCGGCTCAGGTCATGATCCCAGGGCCCTGGGATCGAGCCCCGCATCGGGCTCCCTGCTTGGTGGGAGGCCTGCCTCTCCCTCTCCCAGTCCCCCTGCTTGTGTTCCCTCTCTTGCTATCTCTCTGGCAAATAAATAAAATCTTAAAATAAATAAATAAATTAATTAAATAAATAAAAAACAATGAACAATCAAATTACCTTAGCAGCTTGAGATTCCCTTAAGTAATATTTTAAAAGGTCGGAAAGTTTGAGGTCCTCATCAGCAGACACTCGTGCTTCTATTTTCTGAAAAAGGGGAAAAAAATCCGGCATTTAATTAGCACTTATATTCTACAGCCAATGTTTTCTTTCATAATTACTGTAAAAAAATATTAAAGTTACAAATAACTATAGTATCCATTCCTATTTAATCTAATTTTCCTTGCCTTCTCCTTTCTACTAACCTATGACTTTACTTCAGGACTTTGACCAAAACTGAACAGAAAAAAGAATGAAATCAAATGAGATTAGTGAATTTATGGAAGGACTCTGTTGGACTCAAGTTCTTTTTTTTTTTTTAAAGATTTTATTTATTTATTTGAGAGAGAGAATGAGAGATAGAGAGCACGAGAGGGAAGAGGGTCAGAGGGAGAAGCAGACTCCCTGCCAAGCAGGGAGCCCGATGTGGGACTCGATCCCGGGACTCCAGGATCATGACCTGAGCTGAAGGCAGTCGCTTAAACTGACTGAGCCACCCAGGCGCCCTGGACTCAAGTTCTTGGTAATAATGAGTTTCAATGTTATCTTTGAGCATTACTAATTACATGTACATTACTAATATACACTTATTACATTTCTTGTTACATCATTTCAATGACATGTACACATGATTTTAAAGTGATAAAGGACGGGGCTCAAGGGTGGCTCAGTCAGTTAAATATCTGACTCTTTGATTTCGGCTCAGGTCATGATCTCAGGGTTGTGAGATGGAGCCTGTGTTGGGCTCCATGCTGTGTGTGGAGCCTGCTTAAGATTCTCTCTCCCTCTCTCTGTCCCTCCCCCGAAATAAAAATAAACCGATAAAGGCTAACAATGAAAGACTAAGTAATTCAAATCAATCTTCCTACTGATAACAACCAGAAAACTAGTCAAAACCTTAACAAAATAGTAAACAGATGTGGTTAGTTTGAATTGGTATAAAATGGGAAGCAGCCATGTCAGACTAAAAAGATGGAACTATTCAATTCAGTTTGGAGAGACAGAAAATTAAAAAAGATGTATTATGTCAACCAAATACAATACAGGGACCTTGTTTGAATCCCAGCTCAAACGAACTCCACTGTAAAAAGCCATCTGAGGCAACTGGGAGCATCTATATACTCAATATTTGATGATTTAAGGGGAAATCACTGATAATTGTATTGATTATATTAAAATTTTAAAAAAGTGTTTGTTTTTAAGATTTTATTTATTTGAGGGAGAGGGAAAGAGCAAGAACATGAGTGGTGGGGAGGGGCAGAGGGAGAGGGAAAAGCAGACTCCCTGTGGAGCAAGAAGCCCAATGCAGGGCCTGATCCCTGGACCCTGAGATCATGAACCCGAGCCAAAGGCAGGTGCTCAATCAACTGAGTCACCCAGGCGCCCCATGACTATATTAAAATTAATTCTTATCTTTTTAAAAAAGAGATATGCACAAAGGGCAGAAAAAATGAATATGGACTTTTTGGGAAAAAGCACTTTAAGCAATGTAGAAAATGTTAACATTCAGGAAATCTGGGTGACACATGTACAGAAATTCTTTGTACTATTTTTTTTAAAATATTTTATGTATTTATTTGAGAGAGAGAGAGAATGAGTGGAGGGGAAAGGCAGAGGGAGAGGGAAAAGCAGACTCCCCACTGAGTAGTGAGCCTGACATGGGGCTCGATCCCAGGACCCTTGAGATCATGACCTGAGCCAAAGGCAGACGCTTAGCCATTTGAGCCACCCAGGCTCCCCTCTTTGTACTATTCTTGCAACTTTTCTGTAAGTCTGAAATGACTGTTGAAATAAAGTTAAAAATTAAAAACCCCACACATCCAGCAGGATAACTGAAATAAAAAAGGTAAGTATTATAAGCTTGTGCAGCAACCCAATGCTCACATTTATTCTGGTAGGAATGTAAATTGGCACAATCACTTTGGGAAACAGTTTGGCACTGTCTATGAAAGCTTTTCACATGGAGACCCTATGACCCCTAATTCTCCCCTGGTTATACACACCCAACAGAAATACATACTTATTTTCAGCTGAAGATATGCAAGAATGGTCTTAACAGTACTATTTGTAAACAGCCACAAACTAGAAACTGTCCAAATGCCTACCAACAGAACAGATGAATAAATTTACGTATATTCTTGCAAAGGAAAGCTATATAGCAAGAAGAATGAAGGATCTACACAAACTGCAACAACATGGATGAATCTTATGTATGTAATGTTGAGTAAATGAAACCAGACATAAAATACATACTGCATAAAGCATTTATATAAAATATGAAAATGAAATTAATCTCTGCTGTTAGAAGCTAAGGTAGTGGTTACCCTTGCAGGAGGTGGTGACTCAGAAAGCAGGTGAAGAGGGGCAGGGCATCTGGGTTGCTGGTAACAATTCTATTTCTTGACCTAGGTGTTCATTATATGAGTGTGTAAAATTTGCAAAATTTCACTGAGCTGTATACTTCTGATATGTGCTCTTTCCTATATATATATAATATACTTCGATAAAAAAACTTGAAGCTTAAGAAATATTCCTTTATAACAGAGAAATAAACTTAGGAAATTTCTTAATCTAACAGATAAATGCACAAAGTATATTCAAAACTTAGATAAATTTAGATAAACTGATTTAGATAAATCTAGGGAACATGCTAGACGATGTTGGGCGCTTTTAAATATGGCTCCTCTCCTTCCATTAAGAAGTAAGGTAGGTTGGGGCGCCTGGGTGGCTCAGTTGTTAAGTGTCTGCCTTCAGCTCAGGTCATGATCCCAGGGTCCTGGGATCGAGCCCCGCATTGGGCTCCCAGCTCCGTGGGAAGCCTGCTTCTCCCTCTCCCACTCCCCCTGCTTGTGTTCCCTCTCTCGCTGTCACTCTCTGTGTCAAATAAATAAAATCTTAAAAAAAAAAAAAAAAGAAGTAAGGTATGTATCCCCTCCCCTTGAATCTAGGCCCTAAGACTGTTTGACCAATACAGAAGTGATGCTGTGCCAGTTTCCAGGCCTTAATGAAACTAAAAATTTCTGCTTCCTATCTTTTGGGATGCTTGCTTTTGGAACCTAGCCAGCACATTGTGAGGAAGCTGAAGCAGCTCCCTGGAAAAGCAACATGCAGGTGTTACAGCCAACAGCCCTGGCTCAAGTCTCGGCTGATAGCCAGTATCACCCCCCAGACATCTGGAAGAGCCTTCATATGTTCCCTGTTGAGGCCCAGACATCATGGAGCAGAGGCAAGCCATCTCTGCTGTTTTTTCTGAATTCTTGACCTAAAGACTTCATTAGCATAATAAAATGGTTGTCGTTTTTAAGCTACTGATTTTAGGATGGTTTTTTACACAGCAAATAACCACACCACAAAAACACTTAAAAGAAATAAAGATAGTTGTGGCAATGGCAATGTGCCACCTAGAGCTCCTTCAAGAGCAACTGCTTGCTGCAAGGAGCACATATGGTTCAGAGTCCTACCTGCAATCTCTCTAAGTCCAGAACAATATTCATTCCAAGGTTATGCTGATCCTCCCCGGCCTGCCTTGGCTGCACCCCATGACAGAGCACGGGATAGCAGGGCCAGTCCCTCCTGCCTGACGCAGTGCTCCCTCTAATGAGCCACTCTGGCTGACCTGGACAAAACTTTCTTGGAACTAGGCTACAGTCTGAAACTCTTCCTACCCAGTACCCTCCTCCTCTGCCCTCTCCTTTCGCAGGTATAGACGGGCACTATGGTCTAAAGGCTCTTCGTGTCTATCCTAATCCTTCCTCTTTGTTCCTCCCAATGAATCTCTTGCACATCTGATTCCATTTGACATCTACCTGCACATCTATTGACACATAAAGCTATTTTGTGATAAATCCCTGTTCTTTTGATGTAAACACACAGAAAAACAATGATTATCTTCCCAGAAAATGCTCGCTGGTACAAATACCAAAAGCAGAATAATGGACCCCAGTATACAACATTTATGTATTTAATGACTCTTTCCTTTGTGAGAAAATATCTCCTTTCCTTTCCTTCACTACACATTACTCAAATGACAAAGTCCTGCTGCAATCAGCTTTCTACAATGGACTAGCCACCTCCACCCTAAGTACCCTTAAATTTCTAATAAACATTTTCACTTTTCTATCAACTTTATCAAAGTGTTTACTACTGCATCTAAGACTGATCTCTGAAAATCAAGACTATGTCAACATTAAATTATTACTATGAATCACACCCTTCTACAGTTGCATATCTGTCTCGTAATGATACAACTCATTTTTATTTTTTAAGTTTTTTAAAGCTTTTATTTATTTATTTGAGAGAGAGAGAGCACAAGTGGTGGAGAGGGAGAAGCAGGCTGCCCGCTGAGCAGGGAGCCCGATGCAGGGCTTGATCCCAGGACCCCGGGATCATGACCTGAGCCAAAGGCAGATGCTTAACCAACTGAGCCACCCAGGCACCACTATATTTTAATTTTTAAAAAGATTTTATTTATTTATTTATTTGAGAGTGAGTGAGAGAGAGAGGGCAAGAGCAGGGAGGGGCAGAGTAAGAGGGAGAAGCAGACTCCCCTCTGATCGCAAAGCCTGCACTGGGCTTGACACCGGGCTTGGGCTCGATCCCGGGACTCCAGGATCATGACCTGAGCTGTAGGCAGACGCTTAAGCAAGTGAGCCACCCGGGCACCCTGATACAACTCATTTTTAAACCAGTGTCATGGGGGATCAAAAGCAATATCATCTTGGTAAAATTATAATGAATCTAACACTTTCTTCTAGCTTACAAAGCTCCAGAAAAAGATCATTCTTCATAAAAATAAATGCTGTTTCATAATGAACATGTTCTCTGATCAAGAATATGAACTTTTGGGGCGCCTGGGTAGCTCAGTCGGTTGGGTGTCTGCCTTCGGCTCAGGTCATGATCCCAGGGTCCTGGGTCGAGCCCCGCATCGGGCTCCCTGCTCCTTGGGAAGCCTGCTTCTCCCTCTGCCTGCAGCTCCCCCTGCTTGTGTTCCCTCTCTTGCTGTCTCTGTCAAATAAATAAATATTAAAAAAATAAAGGGGGTGCCTGGGTGGCTCAGTCGTTAAGTGTCTGCCTTTGGCTCAGGTCATGTTCCCAGGGTCCTGGTATCGAGCCCCACATCAGGCTCCCTGCTCCGCGGGAGGCCTGCTTCTCCCTCTCCCACTCCCCCTGCTTGTGTTCCGTCTCTCGCTGTCTCTCTGTCAAATAAATTAAAAAAAAAAAAAAAAGGAATATGAACTTTTACACAAAGACCAGAAGGCCATAACAAAAAAACTTATTTCCTGAAAAAAACTCAAATTTTCAAATCTAAATCTGTCTCTTCATCATTCTGAAGTATAGCTCATCTTTCTCAATAAAGTTCAACACAACCACAACAGGTTACACACTACTGTATGCAAAGATTGAGACTCTCAAAGGTTAACCGATAGTACTTACTCTTGTTTTATCAAACAGTTCTGAAACTTTGAGAAAAAACCTGGAAGGGAAAAGTATTTCATCAGAAGCCAGCTTTGAAATGACTTTTCATTTCAAATGTTCAGAGCATATACCCCCAAAACCGTATTAATAATGAATTTTATTTCATTGCAGTAATATTTAATGGTCTTGTTCACCACAGACTTCACTTAGAACAACACCTCTATACTTCCACCCATATAACAGATTACTTGAAAACTGTTGTTACAAAAAATCTTCCCATTTCAAGGTAAGAGTCTAAGCCATACATTTATTTATGTATTTAATATATACTTTTTAAAGTAATCTCTACACCCAAGGGGGGGGTGTCGAACTCACAACCCTGAGCTCAAGAGTCACGTGCTCCACCAACTGAGCCAGCCAGGCCACCCCAAGCCATACATTTAAATTAAAAATTTTTTTTCCTTTTATTCTTTAGCAGTATGTCACATAATACTAAATAAAGCCTGTATCTTCAAAATTACCAAAGAAGTATAGAACAATCATATCCAAAAAGGTTGACTTAAAAGGAAAACACTAAAGTTAGAGCAGCTCTTGAAGTTATCTGATACTTATGTGTTAAATATCTTCAAGTAGAGCTGCTTTGTTTTAGAAAATAACAGAAATGAATAACCAATTTCTATCTCAGAATTCATGTTCACTTTTAACTAAATAGCCTATCTCTCAAATGCTGACACCAACTAAAAAACATCCCAATGCCAAACCATTAAAGGGTTATTCTGTGAAATAATATGTAATTACTGGTGACATTATAACTGGATTGGGGCAAGTACTACTAAAAGCTAAAACACTATTTTATGACCTTTGTTTTACAAAAGAGAACTTGATTTGACAGGTTTATGTCCAATAACTCACGGCAAGGTTGGCTTTTTCTTCTTATCAAAGAGTTAGAGATCAACTCTTTGGGAAGGTAGGCTGTTAATTAATGTAAGCTATATATAGTATCTTGTTTTGCCGAAAAACCTGGATCTTACATGTCTATTAAGACGGGATACACTAGGAAAAAGTTCAAGGATATGGTTTAGAAGAAGGCATAAACTATGGAAAAATAGTTTTGCCACTTAAAATTGAAAAAAAGTTTGGATATTTTTCAATGAAGAGTTGGGTTTAAACAATATTATAGGAACAACTAAAATTAACTATGGTTAGACTAATGTGAAAAATCAGTATAAAGTAAATAAAGGACAGCTAAGTATGCAAACATCCAGAGAGCATTTCTATACTAACATGCATAATACTTTCCCATCAGGTCACTCTAGGACTGCCCTAGGATTCACTAAACTTATAATCTAGAATAGCCAGCCTCTTTAAAAAGTATAAACTGATTAACATCACATTTTACTTTAAAAGTCAATTTGGCCTCCAAAAAAATACATACAAATATATATTATATTCTAAATCCAAAACATTTATAATAAACTTCATCAAAACCTAAGAACATTTTGACATAAATTCTTCCTCTTCCTTATATACATAAATCAGGCAATTTTCATCAAATAAAACTTTGCAAGTGTTAAAATTATATAAAGCCAATTTTTACTTTTCAGATTTAAAAAATAACAGAGAAATGGTAGAGAAAAAATGACATTGATCCAAGTTTATAAGAAGCGCCTTATTACTGATGTATTTTGAAGAAGATATTCTAAATGACTCTCGGGTCAGAAATATTCTGTGTGTCCAGGCTGCCAATGAAATTTTTGTTTCATTTAATGTTTCAAATCAGAATCCTTACTTGCATATATCTGTAGAATCCTGAGTTCCTAAAGCATATAATGAAGAACCAATTCTATTGTAATCATCTGCAGCACCTATGGAAAAAATTTTTTAGAATATATTTAATTCATTGATTCAAAAATACTTACTGAGCACCTACCTGCCAAACAATGTGTATGCAGTATGAAATACCCCAAGTCTGGTGAAGGGAATGACAACAGTTATATTATAACTTGATGAATATTATATTAGAAATAGGAACAAACTACTCTGGGAGCTGGGGAAACAGATGATTCCACCTAAGTAAGTTAGGGAAGGATTTACAGACACTACTGAGTGAGTCGGAACTTGTAGGACAAGCAAATCTTTACCAGGCAAAATGGAGGGGACAGCATGGATAAAGACCAATGAGACATAAAAGAATACAGTATATTCAAACCGCCTTCTAGGAAGAAGGCGCTATAGGGTACAGAAGAGAGTGGACAGAGCTGAAGATGGAAAAATAAACTGAAGTATCCTGGGGGGGGCAAAACAGGTTTTTGTAAGACATGATAAAGTTTGGATTTGATCTTGTAAGAATGGGTATTATTAAACATTTTAAAATAACAGTAGTGGTAAAAACAACCATTAAGGATTTTAGATAAAAAATTCTGCTGCCTGGAATAAAGATTAGAAATGGAGACACAGAAGGCTGAGTAACCAACTAGGAATTTGTTGTGTCAGATACTGATGGTCAGGATCAAGTTAGCAAAAACAGTGACAGCAGAGAGGAACAACAAAGCTGGAAGATATTTAGGAAACCTAATAGGTAGGATTTACAAGCAAGAGACCTAAGGTAGAAGGGAAAATTAGAGCTTGGGAAGCTAGATGAAAGGTGGTAGCACCATTATCCTTGGGTGCTAGGAGGCGAAGTATTCAACTTCAGCACAATACTTTTCCCAGGGCTCACCCCATGGGACAAATTGCTGAGAAAAGATTACTCGTTTCAGAAAAAGGATAGTATAAGTGCAATGGTTAAGAGTATAGAACTGGAACCAAACTGCTTAGGGTCCAATCCGAATTTACCAGCTCTACGACCTCAAGCTTATCACTTAACCTGTGTATGCCTTGCTTTCCTTATCTGGAAACTGACCCTGAAATTATTTTTTACAGCAAGACATTCCTGGATCCTAATATCTCGCCCTGAGAACACTACCCTCTTTAGCTGTTACATCATTATATGATCATAGAAAATAAGCAAACTGCCCTGATTTTATACATTACAGTGTTGTTGAAAACTTAATTTTTCATAGTCCAGGCTAAGTTCATGCATCATGAAAAAGTAATTTTTACTTTATAATTCTGTAAAATTGTATGTTATTTAATTAATCATATGTAATAATTATGATTTTGTAAAGAGGTTCACAACCATCTTTCTTAAAAGCACTGTTCCATTTGGTCAAATAAATAAAGAAGAATCACTAATATTTTCTTCACTTTTCTTAATGGATGACTGTCTACCTTTATAGTTCTTTATGTTTCCACAGCACGAATATACACACCTATTACAGGACTGCTTACAGTACACTGTAATTTTTTGCTTTTGTGTTTATTTCACCTGCAAATTTTTTTTTAAGATTTTATTTATTTATTTGAGATTGAGCATGAGCAGGGGGAGGTACAGGGGAGAAGCAGACTCCCCACGGAGCAGGGAGCCTGACACAGGGCTCCATCCCAGGACCCCAGGATCATGACCTGAGCTGAAGGCAGAGGTTTAACCAACTGAGCCACCCAGGTGTCCCTATTTATTTATTTTTAAAAAGATTTATTTATTTGAGAGAGAGACAGAGCACAAGTGGGGGGAGAGGCAGAAGGAGAGAGCCTGATGGAGGAATGATCCCAGGACCCTGAGATCATGACCTTAGCCGAAATCAAGAGTTGGCTGCTTAACCAGCTGAGCCACCCAGGCCCCCTGAACTCTATTACATTTAAACTCCATTGGTATAAGTGATACTTATCCCAAGAACTTAAGGTTGGCTTAACATCTGAAAATACAATTAACCAGGGGCGCCTTGGTGGCTCAGTCGTTAAGCGTCTGCCTTCGGCTCAGGTCATAATCCCAGGGTGCTGGGATCGAGCCCTGCATCGGGCTCCCTGCTTGGCGGGAAGCCTGCTTCTCCCTCTCCCACCTCCCCTGCTTGTGTTCCCTCTCTTGCTGTCTATCTGTCAGATAAATAAATTTTTTTTTAAGATTTTATTTATTTATTTGAGAGAGAAAGAATGAGAGACAGAGAGCACGAGAGGGAAGAGGGTCAGAGGGAGAAGCAGACTCCTCGCTGAGCAGGGAGCCTGATGCGGGACTTGATCCCAGGACTCTGGGATCATGACCCGAGCCGAAGGCAGTCGCCCAACCATCTGAGCCACCCAACCATCTGAGCCACCCAGGCGACCCTAAATAAAATCTTAAAAAAAAAGAAAGAAAGAAAGAAAGAAAATACAATTAACCATACTAAGACTAAAAAGGAAAAATGATGATTATCTCAACACTGTAGGTGCAAAAAAGGACATTTGATAAAAATCCAACATTCATTCCTGACCTAAAAGAAAAAAAAACTCTCAGAAAACTAGCACAAGAGAATTTTTTCAACCTGATAAAAAGCATCTAGGAAAAACCTACACCAAACACTGTAATGAATGGTTTAAGAATGAATGCCTTCCGCATAAGATAAGGAACAAGGCAAAGATGCCTACTCTCACCACCTCCATCCACACTGTACTGGAGCTATAGGTATAGCTTCTGTACAATGGGGCAAAGAAAAGAAATAAATGGAATCTAAATTGGAAAGAAGTCTAATTGTTTCTATTAGCAGATGATCATCTATGTAGAAGATCCAAAGGAATCTACAAATAGTTACTGGAACCAGTAAGTGAGTATATTTAGTAAGACTGCAAGATATATGATCAATATAGAAAATACATTGTATTTCTATATATTAGCAAATAACAACTAGAAACTGAAAGGTATAAAATACATCATTTACAACAGCATCAAAAATAATTAGGGATCAGATAACTATGTATAAGATCTGTACAACGAAAGCTATAAAATATTGCTGAGAAAATTTAAGGAAGACCTAACTAAATGGAGAAATACACTATATTCATGTATTAGAAGAATCAATATAGTTAAGACATCAATCCTCCCCAGGGCGCCTGGGTGGCTCAGTTGGTTAAGCGACTGCCTTCGGCTCAGGTCATGATCCTGGAGTCCCGGGATCGAGTCCCACATCGGACTCCCTGCTCAGCGGGGAGTCTGCTTCTCCCTCTGACCCTGCTCTCTCTCTCTCTCTCTCTCTCAAGTAAATAAATAAAATCTTTAAAAAAAAAAGACATCAATCCTCCCCAAATTGACCTACAGATTCTACACAATCCCAATCAAAATCTCAGACACCATTTTTATAAAAGTGACAAGCTGATTCTAAAATCCATATGAAAAAAGGGGTGCCTGGGTGGCTGTCGTTAAAAGTCTGCCTTCGGCTCAGGTCATGATCCCGAGGTCCTGGGATCAAGCCCCGCATCGGGCTTCCTGCTCAGCGGGAAGCCTGCTTCTCCCTCTCCCACTCTCTCTGCTTGTGTTCCCTCTCTCACTATGTCTCCCTCTCTGTCAAATAAATAAATAAAATCTTCAAAAAAAAAATAGATAAAAAAATAAAATCCATATGAAAATGTAAAAAACCCAGAGGGGCCAAAACAACTTTGGTAAAGAAGAATAAAGCAGGAGGACTTATATAAGAAAAGATATTCATCATCATCAGTCATTAGGGAAATGCAAATTAAAATCACACTGAGACACCTATGAGAATGGCTAAAAGGAAAAAGAATGACTATCATTGTTGGAAAACATGTGGAGGAATTGGAACTCTCATGCACAGCTGGTAGGAATGTAAAATGGTACAATCATTTTATTTTGGGAAAAAAACTTTGGCAGTTTCTTAAAAAGTTAATTATACACTTACCACATGACCCAGCCACTCTACTTTTAGGTATTACCCAAGAGAAATGAAAGCACATGTTCCATACAAAGACTTACATTTAGATGGTTCATGTCAGCTTTATTTATAACAGTCTAAAGCTAACAATGACCCAAATGTCCACCAACAGCTAAATGGATAAACAACTGTGGTATATCCATACAACAGTGTAATACTCAACAATTAAAAGGAATGCCTTCTTGATACACACAACTTGAATTAATCTCAAAATAATTTTGTTGCATTTTAAAGCCAAATAATAAAGAGTACATATAGTATGATTCCATTCACATAAAATTCTAGAAAATGCAAACTAATCTACAGAGACAGGAAGCAGATCAATGGTTGCCTGGGGACAGGGCAAAAGGGAGGGAATACAAAGGCTGTAAGGAAACTTTTGGTGGTGATGGATATGTTCATTATCTTGATTATAGTGATGATTTTACACATATGTCAAAATTTATCAAATTGTATACTTTGAACATCGCAACTTGCTGATATCAACTTATACCTCAATAAAGCTGTTAAAAGAAAACATTAGTCTATCTTGAACTTTGAAGGAATCTTTTACATCAAAAATACCACACTGACATATGATCATCAGTCTCCTCAGACAAGTCTTTATTGTGAAGCAAGTTCATGAGGATGGATACAAGTTTTCCAAAATTCTAATTATTGCTGAAGAGCTTGACTTTTATCATGGTCAACAAATACTGTCAGTTGTTTTCCTTAAAGTGACAGATTCACTTAATTTTTAAGAAAATGTCTACCAAATACTCAAATCTGAATAATCATAGTTTGGCAGCTATTCTCTCAAGTAGAAATGGTGTTTTTTTTTTGGGAAAAAAAAAAGGCAGATAATTCAGTTGCAACTAAAGTGCTTTTCTAAAGAGAACCATTATATTTCAGTACGCAAAGTGCTTTATGTATACCTTCCATTTCATCATTCAGAATATTAAAAAAGTGAACTCAAGGGAAGTGTTTATTACAATTAGTAATTTTAACTGCTTTATCAAGGATAATCTTAATTGATTTTTTTTTTCTAACTGCAAACGCACTGCAGGAAAGAATATAGTGACTCTTAGCACAATTTGGTGCCACTGTCTTAATCTGTGCTAAGGCACCAGTAATCTTATCCACCATGACTTCTGCTTTATCAGTGTAAATGTCAACACGATGAAAAATACAAAAAGCATCATGGATTGTTATGAAAATAGTTTTGACCTCACAGACTTGCTAAAAATAAAAAGAGCGTTAGGGTCAAGACTTCACAGACCACAGTTTGAGAACCACTGTTCTATAGGAGACTTTTATAAACTATAAGTAACATAATAGCTTTATAATTATTCCATTAAAAAATGTAAGCTTTAGCCACAGAGAAAAACCTTACTTTTGTGGGATCTTGTCATCCTATCAGATTTAGCAGATGCATCCTTAACTCGGTTATGATATTCTAAAAGGAATGTTCGTTCATGCTCAAAGAAATCATCTACATCCTATAGGGTCAAAAGAAAATATAATTTTTCACTTATTTACTTTAGTGTAATACATAAATCACTTTACCATTATAATCATAAAAGATCAGTAAAACAGCACAGCTATCCTCTAATAATCAGATGTTCTAATGATTTCACCAACAAATTCAGACTTTATACAGACATGCACTTCTACCTATCCAGGAAAAAATCTGCAATGGTTTTGCAGTTGAAAGCTTAGATCCTTCCATAATGGTTCACGTTCACATGTTGTACTCTGAAATATGTTCCTACTCGTGCTCTGTGTCTACAGTCCAGCCTCTCCAACAAATATACTGCTGCCAGGGGGGAGTAATCAATTGCTTTTGAGAAGAAAAAAATTCTGATAGACAAGTCTGAATCTATTTCTCTTGGTCTACTATGTATTCTATGAGTCATTCCTAAAGGCTGTGAGGCCTTTGCCATTACAGTCCTCTCTGATTGCTTTGGGGAAACATGGCCAAACTAGCTTTCTGGGAGCAATTATTGTATCTTTTTTGAAACAAAGCTAGATACGCATTAAAAATAAAAATTATTAAAAGTGCTTTCCTCCTTTCTAAAACAGCAATGATTTTTTGAAAAAGCACCAGCTAAAATGATGTAATTCAAATCCACATCAACAGAATGGGAAAGAAGAGTCAGTACTAACAAAATGTCCTTTAAAATTTGTAATTCATGTGTACCAATTTTTTTAACTGTTAAAATGGGGATAAAACTATCCAACTTGTAAGGTTGAAGAGTAAACAAAATGTGGATTAACAAACACCACATTGTAAATGTTCAAAAATGTTACTACTTTACCAAAATCATAATCCATATAGTGGACTAATGCTAAGAAAAATGTTCAATATTAATGCATAAGTAGCATCAAAATGGAAGGAAGTGGAGTTCTTATTAGAAAGTAGCCATGGCATATGCGCTGTCAACATACCAGCTGACCTGTCTCTGAAAAACCAAAGTATAAATCAAATAAATAGTACTTCCTACCTAAGTTTTACTGTAGATGTATCTATAAAAATAGGCAATGATGGGGGCGCCTGGGTGGCTCGGTCATTAAGTGTCTGCCTTCAGCTCAGGTCATGATCCCAGGGTCCTGGGATCGAGCCCCACATCGGGCTCCCTGCTCAGTGGGAAGCCTGCTTCTCCCTCTCCCACTCCCCCTGCTTGTGTTCCCTCTCTCACTGTGTCTGTCAAATAAATAAAATCTTAAAAAAAAAAAAGGCAATGATGACAAAGCAGCATTATTTATCTCTTTCTTAGTACCTGCTTGATAATGTAATATAAACACTTTCCTCTTTTAATGGTAAGAATCTTCAGATAAATCAATTCTTGTACCATTTTTAGAACATCATTAAGAAATACTTAGGTGCTATTTATTTCTTTTAGTTTTAAATATGCCTGTTATTTATTTATTTGTAAGCTCTACGCGCAATGTGGGGCTTCAATTCACGACTCTGAGATCAAGAGTCACATGCTCTACTAACTGAGCCAGCCAGGCGCCCCACAACAAAACTAAAACCTCAAAGGAGCTCTTCTAACTCCAGATCTGAACCCAAGTGTGCCCCCCCCCCCTTTTTAAAGATTTTATTTATTTGACAGAGAGAGACAGCGAGAGAGGGAACACAGGCAGGAGGAGTGGGAGAGGGAGAAGCAGACTTCCCGCCGAGCAGGGAGCCCGATGCTGCCCCTAACATTTGTAAGGCCGAGGGCAAGTGTACAAATGGAGGCAGAACCTCTTTCGTGCCCTATCCTGCAGCTCTGTAAGGCACCTAGAGAAACCTCATGTGTGTATATAAACGGATATTCTATCTTGCACACTGATCTTCTTCCCTGTGCCCTCCCTCTCCCCAGCTGTTCCATGGTCACCCTTGACCACCCATGAATGCACACACTGGAGGATGAATTCAGGGAAGAGGCCCACAGAAGAGAAAAAGTTGGAAGGAGGCTTCAGATTTGGGCAAGGAAATATGGAATTCCAGACCCCTAAAGCATGGTCTAGCTTGGAGGGAAGGGGTATGCACAAGTCCCCTTGTACCTACAGACCTCACCCCTGGGAGAAGGAAGTTCTCTAAAGAATAGAATCAAGGGCAGGGGGCCCAGATTCCCAGGCCTAAGCATTCTACTGTCCAAATTCTCTTTTACTCTAATAAGTCATCTGCACATCTGAAATCTCAATCTATCTTCTTAAAAGAAGTAGATTCTCAAACAAATACCTCTGTTAATCAAATAAAAGCTTACCTTTACGCCTGAAACAATTACTCCATCTGCTGATTTTACCATGTTTTTAAAGAAATCTTCAAGTTTCTCTTTTTTATTTTTTCCTCTCACACTCAGCTGAAAGAAAGGTAAACTTAAGTTGGCAATTTTTTTAGATTACAAATGGAAAGTAATGCCTCTTTTATTCTCTGACATCAAAATGGCAACCACAAAAGGATCCTGGTTTTTAAAATAAAGTGGCAATATCATGTGTATCAGTGACTTTCAAACTTTAGTGTATTAAAGAGGAGGCTGGCCTCTCTCAAAGATTTAGATTCAGGTGATGTACAATAATGCCTAGGTATCTCAAATTTGATATGTATATTTGATAATCCCATTGCAAGTAGCCTTCTCATCACATATATAGTAATATATAAAGGCAACTAAAAATTTAATCCAGGAGTTTCTTTAAAAATCCCATTGCAAGTAGCCTTCTCATCACATATATAGTAATTATATATATAAAGACAACTAAAAATTTAATCCACGAGTTCCTTTAAAGATGTAAAATTTATTGGAGTCTAATACACCATCATAGGACTCTGTAAAAGCTTTGAAAATACATTCTGCAAATTCTTTTTTTTGGTAAGATTTTATTTATCTTATTTAAGAGAGAATGAGAGAGAATGAGCGGGGTGAGAGGCAGAGGAAGAAGCAGACTCCCCGCTGAGCAGGGAGCCTGATGTGGACTTGATCCCGGGACTCAGGGATCATGACCTGAGCCGAAGGCAGATGCTTATCCTACTGAGCCACCCAGGCGCCCCATATTCTGCAAATTCTTCACTCTGAACTCATACAAATATCATGTCTTGTCCTGTTTTGGGGATCAGCAACTTATACCATAAGGGACACAAAAGGTGACTCCAGATGGCAAGAATGGTTATCTAAAGGCAAAACTGAGAAGCAGCCAACTCTTTGACTTTACCACTTGCTGCATCAGGGTGTCCCATAATGGAACATCCCATCTAATTTCCATATCTACTGCCATGGCTTCAATGTTCACCATTATGTAAATGATTCACAAATCATGATCACTACCCCTAAGCTCTTTCTGAACCTCAAACCCTATTTCTAATTGCCTATATTACATTCTTATATGGAGATTCTGCTAAACCCACATTAAACTAAGACAGTATTCATTATAATCTAATCTCATCTCCAAATTTTTCTTCTTGGTTCCCTATCCATGGTCCCTCCATCCAACCAGTCTCTCCAACATATTCCCTTAAGCCCCCCACCTCTCATTAAAAATCTTGAAATAATCTACAACTTCTTGTCTCTGACAGCTCAAATTCTACCATCAAATCCTGAAATCTGTCCCTTTCTTTCCCACTGTCCTAGTGAAAAACCTCATTATTTCTTGCCTAACTACTATACTGGACTACTAGTTAACATCTCTCATTTCCTCAATTCAATCCATTTTGTTGATGACTTCCAAAATCAAATTTTGAGCATCTCCTCCTTACTCAATACCCTTACAGGGTTTCACAATGTTCAGAGTTAAGAAGAAAACTCAGAAGAGATCCCAAAGATGTAGAAGTACGTGGGATCCAGGAGAGCTAGAAAGTATCTTCATCAAAATGGAAAGGCACAATGTGATACATCATGTTAACAGAATAAAGGACAAAACCACATCATCTCAATAGCTATACTTTTTCATAACAAAAATACTCAACAAACTAGGAACAGAAGGGAACTTCAACTTGATAAAGAGCATCAACGAAAACCCCAGAGCTGGGCGCCTGGGTGGCTCAGTCGGTTCAGCGACTGCCTTCGGCTCAGGTCATGATCCTGGAGTCCCGGGATCGAGTCCCGCATCAGGCTCCCTGCTCAGCGGGGGTCCGCTTCTCCCTCTGACCCTCTTCCCTCTCGTGCTCTCTGTCTCTCATTCTCTCTCTCAAATAAATAAATAAAATCTTAAAAAAAAAAAAAAAAGAAAACCCCACAGCTAACATCATACTTAACAGTGAAACAATGAATGCTTTCCCCCTAAGATCAGAGACAAAACAAAGATGTCTGCTCTTGTCATTTCTATTTTACATAGTACTGGAGGTCCTAGCCAGGACAGTTAGGCAAGCAAAAGAAATTAAAAGGGTATCCAGATTAGAAAGGAAGAAGTTAAAAAAAAAAAAAAAAAGCTAAAACATGATCATGGCTGCCATGGTGATTGAGAGTTGTGGGAGACACATAGAGTTGTAGGATTTGATTTCTGACTAGCTTCCACTTCCCACTGAACAAGGTCATTTTTTCATCTAAAGGAACTGCTGAAAGTTGAAATGAGCTTTTATGGAAAATGGGAGAGAGCTGTCTAAAGTCATAACCTTGTTATAAATGATGGAGCAGGCAATCTAGACTAGATGAGAAATAAGTAAAGACAAAAGGGCTTCTAACAGGGTCAAAATGCTGGAGAGGTCAAGGGTCTAGATGTACCAGTGAGTTAAAGAACAACCAAAATAGGAGTAGGGAAAAAGAGAGTTGTCTATGTTTGGAGTCTAGTTGTCAATGTTTGGAGTCTCTTAATACTAGAGTTTAAGAACTCAGATAAGAGATAGGGTCCTGGGTGTGGCCACTGATAAGGTAGCAAGAATTGAAGGGACATTAGGGTGTTGTTTTTTAAGATTTTATTTATTTATTTGACAGAGAGATAGAGAGCACAAGGAGGCAGAGTGGCAGGCAGTGGGAGAGGGAGAAGCAGGCTTCCCGCCAAGCAGGGAGCCGGGTGTGGGACTCGATCCCAGGACCCTGGGATCATGACCCGAACTGAAGGCAGCTGTTTAACCGACTGAGCCACCCAGGTGCCCCAAGGGAATTAATTAGGTTAAATATTTAATCTACTGTTAAGCAGACTCAGACTATACCTAGTAGAAACAGAGAAGGTATATAGCTACCTAAGTAAAGCAACACTAAAGGCTTACAACAGTGACTACTTCTCACACAACTGAACGCTAGAACAAGCTTTTCTAGGCCTCCCAAACGCCCCATGGCCTTTTTAGACTTCAAGCACCCTAGCCCTACTTCAACAGCTCATCAGTCCTATGACCCTCTGAAACTTAGATAACAAAATAGCACATACAGATTGCTTTTCCTGCCCCAGTGAAGTGAGTAAAGATCTGAGAAACAGCATCAGAACAAGATTGAGAGAAACTTTTTAGTTTTGGGCCTATAATCTGCAATAACCTATTAATGTACTTGCTATTAATTAATTATATATTTTAGAAGGGTTTATTTATTTGAGAGAAAGAAAACATGTGAGCGTCGGGGGGGGGCGCAGAGGGAGACTCTTAGGCAGACTCCATCCTGAGTGCAGAGCCTGATGCGAGGCTCGATCTCACCATCCTGAGATCATGACCTGAGCCGAAATCAAGAGTCAGGTGCTTAACTGACTGCACCACCCAGGTGTCCCGCCATTAATTTGTATAGAATATTTGCAAAACACTTTCCTGTCTTTTTAGAGTTTCTCCAAAACACCATATGCTGACATAAAAGGGTTATTATAATGCAGCACATCATTATCTCTATTAAGCATATATTAGTTTGGGAAGAAGAAAAATGTACGTTGATGGGAGAAAACTTATGAAACCCTAAGATTTCTGAAAGCTATTTATAAAGCTGATCTAAACAATTAAAAATCATTCACTTACTTTTTTAAAAAATTTTATTTATTGATAGAGCGAGAGCGAGAGAGCACAAGGAGGGGGAGTGGCAGAGGCAGAGGGAGAAGCAGGTTCCCCACTGAGCAGGGAGCCCGATACAGGACTTGATCCCAGGACCTTGGAATCATGACAGGAGCCGAAAGCAGAGGCTTAACCAACTAGCCACTCAGGTGCCCCTCATTCACTTACCATTTTAACAAATACTTATTTTACATCTTAATTGTCAGCCACTATTCTAAAGTACTAAGGATACAATGGTGAAAAATTAAAGCCTTGCTTCCAGAGAGCTTATATTTTAGCAGAAGGAGACAAATAATAAATATACAAATTTTTTAAATACAGATACATAATGGGGCGCCAGGGTGGCTCAGTCGGTTAAGTGTGTGACTCTTGATTTCGGCTCAGGTCGTGATCTCAGGGTCCTGGGACTGAGCCCCGTGACAAGATCTGCTTGAGAGTCTCTTCCTCTCCCTCCGCCCCTCCCCACTCCCTGCTTGTGCATCTGCTCTCTCTCTCTCTCAAATAAATAAATCTTAAAAAAAAAAAATACAGAGATGGGGCGCCTGGGTGGCTCAGTCATTAAGCATCTGCCTTTGGTTCAGGTCATGGTCCCAGGGTCCTGGGATCGAGCCCCGCACTGGGCTCCCTGCTTGGCCAGAAGCCTGCTTCTCCCTCTCCCACTCTCTCTGCTTGTGTTCCCTCTCTCGCTGTGTCTCTCTCTGTCAAATAAATAAATAAAAAAATCTTAGAAAAAAAAGTGTAAAAAATAAAAAAAATACAGATGTAATTTCAGATAGCACTAAGGGATTTGGCAATGGGCTACAGTACGTGGAGCACGAGGCTCCTCTAGCACAAGTCGCCTTGAACCAATAACACCACGCCTCACTGTATACATACCTATGCTGCTCTACCAATTATTATTAAGGTTCTGGCCCAGGCCACGAACAAGGTTGAGGAAAAACAAACACATAAAGGTAAAAAACTGATGACAGCATTCTATATCATGTGTTCTTTGGTAACCCTACTCACGAATTGTTTTCACTTCTTATAATTCATGATATAGCCAGCATTCTTTACAATTAATTCCTAGTTACAAACGACCACATGCCAGTATCACATACCACATTTATGCTTGTGAAAGTACCCATGCTTAAGTGCTATGTTTCTGTGATCTTGAGTTACTTCATACCCTTTTAAAAAAATGTGTTCTCTTTACTGCTAGACTTAGGACATTTTATCATCATTGTCATGTCTACTAAAACCAAACCAGAATGACAAATTTATATATACAAAATTCTTTGATCTTGATGTTAACTTGTAAACAAATTAGCACTATGCTACATTTGTTTTTTTGCTAAAATTAGGAGTTAATCTTATCATCCGAATATAAATCCCAAGATCTGTATTGCCCACCCATTAAAATTTTTTTAGCCAGTACTACAAATGAAGAAATCTTTAAAGCTCAATTGCATCAATTTTTCTATTTGCACTGTAACAGTTTTCAGGCAGGGAGGGAGGAAGATTAGGAGCAATCGCACTGAAGAAGGTCAGTTAAACAGATCAAAACTTAATGATTAACCCAAAAGTAATCTGGAATTCTTTAGCTCAAACATCTCGTTGGGATTCCCCATAAGGCTTCGGAGGACTCCAAACTCAAATTTAAGAAACAATCAAGTTGATAACCGTGTTTCTTAAAAAGTTCACAATTCAGGATGAAAATCAATATCCCATGTAGTAACATGATTTTCCCTCATTTCTTCAACTAATCTCAAGTTCTACTGAAATACCGTATTACCACTACAAAAGTATCATTTTAAACTGCCTTGAAATATAAGAATGTTACAAAAAAGGGTCATCTAACTATTCCCTGCCTTTCCCAGTAACTCTAAAAATAAACTTTGATCACTACTTTAATCAATACTCACATCTTGATTATATTCCAAGAAGACATGAAAATTTAAATCTTTTCTCAAAATAGGATGTGCTGCCACACGACATAGGAACACTTCATGCATTGCAACAGTCTTCTTGAATATTGCCAAATATTCACTAGAAACAATACACAAAATTAAAGGTAAAACACTGCATCAACTAGAAAATCATCTGCAACAATTTTTTCAACAAATGCTCTGAATTATACTAAAAGCAAAATTAAAGATATAAAGATATAATCCACGTAAGCAAAGGTTTTAGTTGAACTGTTAATAAAATATATAAAACCCAGCTCTGAAAAGGCTTCATGCTAGTTAATAGTATTTATTGTATTTAAATGTTAATATTTTTAGGTTTTATGAACCTTTCTTCCTATGCAAGTTGATGTTAAAGTAACTATAGAGGGGTTCGTTTTCAACTCCAGAGAACGTATACTACAAGTTATTCAATATAATCTTTATGACTCAATTTCTAGATAATTACTGCATTTAAACACTTTTATAAAAAAAAAAACAAACCCAAACCTCAGTAAACATATTTTTGACATTAATAATTATTTTCATCTAATGACCCAAACACACAAGAAAAAAGCATACTGCAGAGAGACTAATTTTTGTCATTACATTGAAAAACTGTTTAAAATATTTTAATATCATCAGTGAATCACAGCGATCATATAGTAATACATGTCAGTTTGAAAAAAAGAAACACTCAAGGAAAAGGCCCAATATTCTTGCTTCAACTACGTGCAAGGAGGATAAATTTTACATACCAGCAAACCAGCAGGACCAATGTTGGGAGAAGTTTGATCTCTGTGAGGGTAGTCATTCAGTGAAGACAAAAAAGAAGGATGCAGAGGATGGAGGTAGCAGTAGAATAAACCCAAGGTTCTCTGTTATCCAACCCCTAACCAGACCACAAAAGAATCATGATCAGGGCCACTGGAAAACCACAGATTCTTTAATATTAATGTGCTCTGCTAATTTCCAGTTTTCAGTCTTATAACTATAAAAGTATAGACTTCTGTCTGCTCTCAGGCTATTGCTTGCACCCAGCATGGACAAAAATCTTAAAATACCTGGCACCTTACACTTTGACAAAAAAGATCTACTTTGCTAATTTATCTTGTCAAATGAGTTTAGCATTCTGAAGAGGGGTCTAGTCGCCATGTGGATAGACGCTTAAAAGCTGAAACTAAGTGAAGAAAAGGAAATGCATGAAGAGGAGAAATGGCCAGAAAAAGAGTGATGGAAGTGATGATGATACAAGGAAAGTTATTTCTTTGTATAGCTCCCAAAATACAGAAAAACAATATACTGCAAATCTAAAATTATTCATATGTCTAGTAAAAGGGGAAAGATTTGGTATTTTTAGCAAGTATGCTAAAAATAAAATAGAAACTATCTCAAATTTTTTCAAGGATTTAATACATTTCTAGTATATGTGAAACTAATAATCATTGAATAACATTTTAAAGACTATTCTCTTGTTACTTTGTTCCTATTCTTTTCCCTTCAGCCAGAAGACAGAGACAGAAAAAAAGAAGGTAAAAATTACACACACACACACACACACATTTTTTAAAAAAGAAAATAATATATGAAGAATTGCTCAGTGCATATTTCTATGAGAAACAGAAGTTTGGGTAGTATGCACATATCGAAAAAAGAAAACTAGGTTGGCAATGACTAAAACCTTGTAAATAAAAAATAAAACAAGTTACATTCTGCTTTAAAAAGTCGTTATTTCCCTTTCTACTATTTTTTAATAAAGTTTTGGAACCTCTGTTTTCAATTTTCAGAGTCTATTTAAAACGTTAAAGAATTTTACAATACAGACAATTATTCTATAATTTTCCTGTAGGCTCTGATCATGATCATTAAAACTGGTTGTTTGGCTTAAACCTGCATCTTTCAGAAAGGGTCACTGTGGTGAAATGATTAAAAGGATGGGATACCAGAGAGCACAGAAAAAGGCATTAAAACAAGCACAATTAACAAGAGCAACAACAAAAATCACATACGCTTCCAGTTCCTGTTTCATCTTTGTGAATTCTTCCTTAGTCATGGACCCTTCTCCTTCTCCAAGCTTCTGCAGTTTTTCCCTTGAAGCATCAAAATCAGGTCTTGGTGGTGCTGGTGGGATCTGTAAGAGAACCAAGTCACTTATTTATTTATTTTTAAAGATTTTATTTATTTATTTGAGAGAGAAAATTAGAGAGAGCACATGAGAGGGAGGAGGGTCAGAGGGAGAAGCAGACTCCTCGCTGAGCAGGGAGCCCGATGCGGGACTCGATCCAGGGACTCCAGGATGATGACCTGAGCCGAAGGCAGTTGCTTAACCAACTGAGTCACCCAGGCGCCCACAAGTCACTAATTTAAAGACTATTTTCTTTTTCACAGCAGTTATACTACTGCCACCATAAAAGACTGTATCTGGGAGAGCTAAAGACATCCTGAATGAACACGACACCAGGAATTTCCCAATTCAGGATAGAGAAATTTTTTTTTTATTATTTTTTTTTTATTCATTTGAGACACAGAGATAGAGAGAGAGAGAGCATGAGCAGGGAGAGAGGCAGAGGGAGAAGCAGGCTCCCCGCTGAGCCAGGAGCCCGATGCGGGGCTCGATCCCAGGACTCTGTGATCATGACCTGAGCCGAAGGCAGACGCTTAACCATCTGAGCCACCCAGGTGCCCCAGGATAGAGAATTTGATTAGGTCCTTTGCGCCAAGGAAGAAATACAGCAGAGCACTATTTTCTAGTATAAGAACACTAGTTTCCAAACTTTAATCTGCAGATTCCTATGTGGCAACTTAAGAGTCCTCAAATGTATATGTGCATTAAGCTCTGACTATACACTAAAAGAAGATGCATACCATTTTTCAGAAGGATGTACATGGTTTGATTAAATACAAATATATTTTTTAATTAAGGAATTCATAGTAGCTTTATGCTATTCTATGTTTTTAAAATTCATGAATGCCAAGAGTATAATCCAGCAAGGAATGTTAAAAAGCGTTCCTGAATTGGAGGAGTGTTATCAGAAGAAGAAAGCACTGACTTAAAACCAAGAGAACAAGACAGGGATTAATGACTAACATCATTCTATTCACTCACAGTGGGTAAGTAAACAGTTACCTGAAATAAAAATATAAGATCTAGAAGAGACGTATCATTCAAAGGAAGGATAAAGAAAAAGTTTATCTTAAGAGGAAGGGCCTAGAAGTAAGAACTGTTAAGGGGAAATGATGGCAAGTAAAGAAAGCAAGAAGATAAGAGGAAGAACAGATAAGTAGGGGAAAGCTAAAGAATGAATACAAGAAAAAGGTTATACTTGAGGAAAGCCACAGGGAAGGAAGCATCAAGTACAGCTGAGCACACATTCATGGATGCCCATACACCATATCTACTATGTGCCAGGAATGATGCTGAACAATGTGCATATAAAGATAAATAAGACATGGTCTTTTTTTTTTTTTTAAAGATTATATTTGTCAGAGAGAGCACAAGCAGGGGGAGCTGCAGGCAGAGGGAGAAGCAGGCTCCCTGATGAGCAAGGAGCCCGATGAGGAACTTGATCCCAGGACCCTGGGATCATGACCTGAGCTGAAGGCAGGGGCTCAACCGAGCCACGCAGGCATCCCTAAATAAGATATGGTCTTGATCTTTGAGGAGTGTTTAGTGTGTAGAAGGACATGGTAGTAAGAAAATGCCATTAGGTGAGCACTGTGAATTATGTACAGACCTGTACCTCTGAAACAAATAATACATTATATGTTAAGATAAAAAAAAGAGAAGATAGTAGGAAGGGAAAAATGAAGCGGGGGGAATTGGAGGGGGAGACGAACCATGAGAGACTACGTACTGAGAAACAAACTGAGGGTTTTAGAGGGGAGGGGGGTGGGGGATGGGTTAGACCAGTGATGGGTATTAAGGAGGGCACGTATTGAATGGAGCACTGGGTGTTATACGCAAACAATGAATCATGGAACACTACATCAAAAACTAGTGATGTAATGAATGGTGACTAACATAACATAATAAAATAAAATTAAAACAAAAAATAAAGAATTAGACAAGATGAGGAAGAAAAGGTGGAAATAAGATGGGAAGAGAAGGAGCTTCCAGGTTGGCGAAGACACTGACATGCTGGAAGGTGGAAGGTGGTACACCTACAGAAAGTTCTGCACCAACCCCCTCTCCCTGTACCTTGTCCTATGCATCTCTTCCTTTTGGCTGTTCCTGTGTTGATTCTTTATATAAACCAGTAATTTTTTTGAAAGAAAAAAGAAAGAAAGAAAAAAAAGAATGCACTGCCAGCTGTCCACCAAATTCTGAGTTTTACAAAGAAAAAACAAATGACTGAGAAGGAGTGGCCATAAGGATGGAGATAGAATCAGTTCAGGATGATTTCAAGGAGATCAAATGAAACTAAATTTCAGGAATCTGACTGTGGTCAACAGCTGAGGCACAATACCTGATGCATACTGAGATTAGATAACCTCTTAAGGAACCCTCCAACTCTAATTAATCTGTCTACCTAAGGGTTCAAAATGGGTATGGTTTATAACATCCCCTTAATCTCTAGGAAAAGTCCATTTCAATTCCAATAAACAGTAAGAATTTAAGTTTAAATTAAGGAGCGTAAGATATCCATATCTCCACACTCTCAAACTAGATAATTCAGGATAAAAGGTGGCAGTCAATTGCGTTTTGTAACTCACAATTTTTAAAAACCACACCAGTTCACTAAAATGCTAAACAAGATTTAACACATAACAAAGTATCTAAAAAGTTCCTAGAAAATGGGATTAAAATGGGTTTTAATCCCATTTTCCCAACACTTACAATGTAACCCGCATAGTCTTCATTTTCAATGAAGGAATCATGAAGCCAGATAAATTCCTCATGTTGTCGAACAACAGAAAACTCATTTTGTTTAAAATTTGGCAATGAACTCTGCAAAGATAGAGATTCTCTTGAAGAAAAATCAAAATTACACTAAAAAGCTTTTAATAAACATTTTTAATCTTATTTTCTTAGTCTTATATGAATGATTATCAGTACTTTTAAACTCTATTATGAAAACTCTGAGACACCCAGAAAAAATTATCCTGGGATCTTTAAGAAAGTAAGTTGACAGCCTCTTATTATATTGTACTGCTATCATTACTTAAAAGTTATTAATATATATCAAACTCAACTACTCAAAGGAAAATAAATCTAAGATCTGAAAATGTGCTTGAGAACTAAAATCCAAGAAGAAAATAATTTTTAAGACAGTAATTTATTTAGTTTTACAGATTCTATTTATTTGAGAGAGAGAGAGAGAAAGAGAGGAAGGTCAGTGAGGGGAGAGGGACAAGCCTGAGATCATGACCTGAGCCGAAATCAAGAGTTGGAGGCTTTAACCAACTAAGCCACCCAAATGCCCTCTAAGACAGTAATATAATTAACTGAAAGAACAAAACAAAATTGAAAACAAGAATACTGAAACACGTTAATAAGTCTAGAGAAAATTAACTTTGCATTACATCTAGGTTCTGTGACTAATTCTCTAATGTTAACGTTTAAAAAGCATATTAAAAAAAGTACATTCCCTAAAACTGTTAAAATAAAAGCAGTGAATTATAAACTAAAATATGGTTTCTTTCTAATTTGTTCAAAACCAAAGGTCCAGTCAGTATATTACATATGTAACTTTTGCACAATAAATAGCTATTAATAATACAAGTACAAAATCACTTACCTTTGTATGAACAGTGAATTTTACTTTATCTCTCTCACTAAGAGCATCAGAAATGTCCACTTGCAGAGCAGCATCACTTTGAAGATCTACGTTTATTGCTTTAAGCTAGAAAAAGATAATACCTTAATGAAAAATTCTGTGGACTTATATAGAATTTCATTCTTTTCTCAGACATTAAGATAATGCAAAACAAAACAAAAATAACAAGAATCTTAAATCTAAAAGTTCATTTAAACCTCATATATATTTTGGGAGGCAGGTGCTTTGGGTATGTCATTATCTTAATTTTCATTCTATACATTTCAACTATGCTTTGTATGAGTCGATGTGCTAACCATGATTCATTATAATTTCAGTCAAAAAGTGAACTGTTTTTTCTCTCTCCTATTTCTCTGCCATCATGGTGTGTGTGGTTGACTGTTCCTCATCATGGATGACAGCAGGGAAGTCTGGAAGGCTCCCTAACCTAGGAGCTTGAATGGCCTGGGTTTGAATCCCAACTCTGCACATTAATACTCTGATTTGGATCTTCTCACAAGACCCATCAAGCAGTTTCTGACCAAGAAACAAAAGCATAATTGTCCCATTCCCCAGTAGATTCAGATGAAAACTGGTATCAAAATCAGGTACAGCTTCAAGAGGAGGCACTGGAAAAAAACCAAGCTGGTCTATAAGGAACAGCACATGGATGGCACACATATTTATGCTGCATGGTCACATACTCCTATCCTATCACTCTGTAACATCACTACAACCTGAGCAATAGACATGTTTTATCAGGGAAATGATTCCTTCTCTGTTACTACGCTTCTGCACCAGTTGGTTGGTTCGGTAATAAATACGTGAGACTTTTTGTTTGAAAAAAATACATAAACTATCTTCCAAGAAGATGGTCCATTAAAGTTCAAGTGCTGTAAAATTAAGGAAAGTATCTACCTTTTCTTCTTCTTTTTTTTAAGATTTTATTTATTTGTGAGACAGAGAGAGAGCATGAGAGTGGGGTGAGGGGCAGGGGGAGAAGCAGACTCCCTGCTGAGCAGGGAGCCTGATGTGGGGCTCAATCCAAGGACTCTGGGATTATGACCTGAGCCGAAGGCAGACGCTTAACTGACTGAGCCATCCAGGTGCCCAGGAAAGTATCTACCTTTTACAACAAGCAAAATAATGAAAAGAATATTGGCTAATAATTTTAACTCTGTTGCTTAATTCAGGAATAAACAATGAAACTATTAAATATAAATATATTACATATAACATATGTAAAGTGCTAAGAAAAATGGTAACACATAGTAAATACTCAACTACCACCTGTGATATGAATTAAATCTCACATTTTACTCTACAAGCTTTACTACGTTCAAAGAATTGACTATGTTCTATTTAGTGCTTTCATTTACTTGTCTATGAGAAGACTTCTCTACTTATAATTCTTTTTTTTTAAATAAACTCTACACCCAATGTCGGGCTCAAACTCACAACCCCGAGATTAAGAGTCACATGCTCCACTGACTGAGCCAGCCAGATGCCCCTCTACTTTACAATGCTTACCATTAATTCTATTTTATAATTCTTAAATTTCATCAATTTTTCTTCCCTTTAAACAAATATACATTCTAGGGGCACCTGGGTGGCTCAGTCGGTTAAGCATCTGCCTTCAGCTCAGGTCATGATCCCAGGGTCCTGGGATCGAGCCCCACATCAGGCTCCCTGCTCTGCGGGAAGCCTGCTTCTCCCTCTCCCACTCCCCCTGCTTGTGTTCCTTCTCTCGCTGTGTCTGTCTGTCAAATAAATAATTAAAAAAAAATATACAAATATACATTCTAAAATGTTTTGACTAATTTGGAGACTTATTAAAAAATCAAATACACTATAAGATGACAATAAAGTCTTAGCCAGTTGCAAAAATATGAAATAGTTAAAGCCTAATTACTACCTAGCTTACTTCAAATACTGTAGTTGTAAAACCCAGGACTTATTTTGGGAATCTCACATAGTCATTAGCATTTCATTTTTTTTAAAAGATTTAATTATTTGTCAGAGAGTGAGTGTGTGAGCGAGCATGAACAGGGGGAGTTGCAGGCAGAGGGAGAAGTAGGCTCCCCGCCAAGCAAGGAGCTCAACGCAGAACTTGATCCCAGGACCCTGGGATCATGACCCCAACCAAAGGCAGATGCTTAACCAACTGAGCCACCCTGGTGTCCTGTCATTAGCATTTCAGATTTTAATTACAATGTAAATGGAAAAAATGCTGGAAGCAAAATTGTTTATAATCTCTGCTCTGTCATATATTTAAAAATGCATATATGGGGGCACCTGGGTAGGGCAGTTGGTAATCATCTGACTCTTGATTTCAGCTCAGGTCATGATCTCAGGGAGGTGAGATCAAGCCCCACTACTTGCTCTGTATAGAGGATTCTCTCTCCTCCTCTCCCTCTGCCCCTTCTCCTGCTCGCACGTGTGCACGCGCTCTAATAAACCCTTTTTTTTTTTTAAGATTTTATTTATTTGTCACAGAGAGTGAGCATAAACAGGAGTGGCAGGCAGAGGGAGAAGCAGGCTCCCTGCTGAGCAAGGAGCCAGACTCGGGGCTCGATCCCAGGACCGAGATCATGACCTGAGCTGAAGGCAGACACTTGAACCAACTGAGCCATCTAGGCACCCCCTGGGTGCTTGTTAAAAATACAGAACCCCAGACCCTACCACAGACTTATCATAACAATCTTCAGAGACTCTTAACTACAGAAAACAAACTGAGGGTTGCTGGAGGGGGGGTGGGAGGGGGGGATGGAGTAACTGGGTGATGGGCATTAAGGAGGGCAAGTGATGTAATGTGCACTGGGAGCTATACGCAACTGATGAATAACTGAACTCTACCTCTGAAACTAATGATATACTGTATGTTAATTAATTGAATTCAAATAAAATAAAATTTTTAAAAATCTTCAGGGAAAAAGCCTTAAAAACTGTGTTTGGGAACCCTAACCTAGATTTTCAGGGTTGCTTTGTCTTTATATTCTGTCAAAACTTCATCTCAATTGTTAATATATTATTTTTTTAAAATATTTTATTTATTTATTTGACAGAGAAAGACACAGCAAGAGCAGGAACACAAGCAGGAGGAGTGGGAGAGGGAGAAGCAGGCCTCCCGCGGAGCAGGGAGCCGACGTGGGCCTTGATCCTAGGACCCTGGGATCATGACCTGAGCCGAAGACAGACGCTCAACCGACTAAGCCACCCAGGTGCTCCAATATTTTCTTTTTAATGGTTATATAAAAGTGTTGCCGGATTTCATATCTCTATGTACGTTTTTATTTTCATATTTATTTTATTTTAACTGTTGCATTATCAATGTGGAAACACACTTTTCAGGATTTCTACATTTGAATAACTTATTCATCTTCCTATTTATTATTTCTTTCTTCTATTTCCTTATCCCTGTATATCAAACACACCCTCCCCTTTTTCTGATAGTGTAACACTTGGCTTTTTTTTTAAATTGTAACTTTTCATTCTTATGTATTTTACTGCTTTTGTTCTTGGATTCTTTTTAGGTATACCTTATGTACGCTGAGATGCAGATTTTAAGTATACAGTTTGAAGACTTTTGAAAAATACACAGATTACATCCCTGTGATCATAACCACAATCATCTCCAGGAGTTCCTTTACTTTTACATTTCTACTTCTTTATTTTCCACCTCTTCAGGAAATTCTCTTTTGTATGCCTTATTAAAGCTTGTAGCCATTCACATATTGCCTTAATGGCCACAATCCAATCTATCATTTGTCTTTTTCATTCTTTTAGAAACTTTGTTCTAGAATTGATCTCAGGAAAAGTGCATGAATCATAAATACCGTCACAGCAAAATGCTGGTGGTAAGATTGTGACTCCTTTATATTTCATAGTAAATTCAAAATATCAGCTGAAGTGTTCATCCCAATATTGCATCTTTCTATAGTCAGTTCTGGTATACACTTCACACCTCAATTTTTTTTTTCCCATTTCCTGAGCTTACAGAGAAAAGGAGACATAAGGAAATTATTTTGTTTGGCAGTAAGATTTGCTTCACACACATTAGCGTTTTTTTTAAAGTCCTGTTTCTAATAACTAAGATGTATAATGGAAAAGCCAGCCAATAAAATGAAATCATCCCCCACACAAATATAAAATTTCCAGTGCAAGCTAATCCGCTATATTTCATCAATTCCAGATGCATATTTTGCATATTTTAACATTTGAAATAGGAATGCCTTGCAACTGATGACAAATTTCAGTTTAACTGAAAATGTTTTTTCTTTCTTGGTGGTACATAAAGTATACCTTCCAAACAATTGTGCCTTAGATTTGATGAAGTATCATATTGCAAATTTAATGTTAATTACATAAAATGCACACAAGATTTTTCAGGCATATTTTCTTCTTTCTTTAAAGTTAATAATGTTAGAGAGTTTTTATTAATGGGAAATGAAAGCAAACAACTTGTGATTCATCAACATTTGATTGACTGAAACTAGTGGGGTCGGTGTGAAGAAATTCTCATTAGATGACATTCACTGGTTTAATCCTTATCTGGGCTGATAAACTTTGTATTCTTTTTGTCAGAGACTGACTAGGTTAAACATCTGTGTCAAGGTCAAGAGAAAGACTTGGCAGGAAAAATGGATTAAGCAACATAAATACATAATATTATAAAGATAATTTAGGGGTGCCTAGGTGGCTCAGTTGGTTGGGTGTCTGACTTTAGCTCAGGTCATGATCCCAGGGTCCTGGGATTGAGTGTGAGCCGCCAAGCGGGGAGTCTGCTTGTCCCTCTGCACTCCCCTCCCCTTGTGCTCTCTGAAAAAGCGAATGTACAGAGAGACAAGTGGATGGATGGAGGAAGAAAGGAAAATGACTCTATTACAATAGCCTCCCAACTGGTGTCTTGTTTCTACCCTTTACCCTCTTCAATCTATTCCTTACAGAGCTACCAGATCCCATTAAACTAAAAATCATTCCTCTGCTCAAAACCTAAGGGGTCCCCGCTTGTAGAAAAGCCAAAGTCCTTACAGGGGTCCCCCAGGCCCTACAAAATCTGTATTTGACATCATCTCTCAGGCTAATCT